ATATGTTGAAGAATTAAAAAAAAAAAGACATGTTTTTGCCATCTGTGTCCCATTGGGGAAATTTCCCTTTGCTTCCTGTCCAATAACCAAAACAGAAAGTGAGAGGAAATCTCTTCAAAGTGAGGGAATCCCTGGTTGTCCCCAGGGTCACCAGTACTAGTGTCCACATTTGAAGATTTCACTTCTATTCCTGTTCTGGGGACAAACCAAAATTTAAGATTTTCTTTTTCTTTTTTTTTTTACTTGTTTTCACTTTCATTGATAAGGGTAAACCTGCACATGACAAAAGTCAGTAATAAGAATCTCTGTCTTTTCAATACAGGCTGTTCACATCTCTACATTCAGTCTTTCGAAGCTTGAAAAAGTACGTTAGCTTTTTTTTGGAGCTGTGTCGTGTGTTTTTGGCCGCATAGACCTTTTATGGAAAGCGCCTGTAAACACACTATATCTAAAGCAGTATTAAATTCAAAAGCAAACATTTATTATATTGTAGTTTACCAATTCTTACATGCATTTGTTTCTTTTTTTTTGTCTCTTTATTCTCTCTTCATCTGGTGATTCAGCCTGCAACTCTGCTATTTTTTCAGAAGTTCAAACTCTTCAGCAGTATGTAGCTTACATGGAACAGACAGACCATTTACCACTGGCAGGGGTGTTGACAATGATCAGCTTTTATTTATTAATATAATACTTTTATACCAAGGGGGAAAAAAGCTGTTTACAAAGTGTGAGCTTTTGTCCCACTTCAATTTGTTGTTTGTATTCAAATCTGCCAATACATTTAACACTCCCATCCCCCCCCAAGTTGACTGCTGCTGTGCGCTGTGTCCTGTACTCATTCCTCCGGAGTTGTGTCTCACTGATACAGGAGGTGTGTTACTGACCAGATCCTCAGGTGAAAAATGAGGATTGATTGGTAAGCTGCAATATAATTCACAATTGGTTTTGGGTTTATTACTGCTTTAGAAATGTGTAAAATGGATCGTAATGTGTGTGGTGTCCTTTAGGTGCACCAATTTTGGTTTAACCAGGGCCTCAAAATTCAATGTTATCGTAAAGGATAAGTTCACCTTTAGTAACATGTTACGTGTTACACCCATATTCAGGGTGTAACATGTTACAACCTGACCGGCCCCCCTCTCCCTGCTCCGCACTTTGACAGCTAGTGCAGAATGTTCTCCCCCCGCCCCAGTTGTCAAATTTAAGAAAAACAAAGCATTCTGTGGATGAGAGACTACAAGTCCTGGCAGCCTTAACTGCTTTCAGTTTGTAGTCCTCAATAAACTACCATGGCACTGTGGAGCGTCGTGGTAGTTTATTGATTTTTCCTGTCAGTGTGTCTACTTGCTCGCATATCCCGTACGAGCAAGCAGATATTCTGACAGATCTGCAGGAGACCTTCATGGCACCAGCGATCTGCTGATCGCTGGCGCAATGCTTTACAGGTTCCTGCAGACAAAAATAATAAATGCACATTTTTTTTTTACCTGCAAAATAAGTGTATTTATTATTTTTTACTAAAAGGCAAACTTATCCTTTACGCCTGCCAGGATATACCTATAGCAGGAATACCCTTTTTGGGTGGACTGACTGTTTAACATTTTGGGTGATCGCCCCTTTAACATGCTGCATGAGTTCTTAAACAAAAAGACACTTTTACAGCGAATATGATTAATGGTGTGTGGTTTTTGTTTTGTAGCAGTGGAGGAGAGCGGCGGAGACTCGTGGAAATACAGTCTGAGGGTATGTTTTCTAAATTATTCAGCCTTGGCCTTTCTTTGAATTCTCAAAATAGGTATCATTGTCACTCATGCGTTTAAACAGGAAAATGTTACAGAGTTACATGGTTTAGGTCCTTAGGGTCTTTCCTTTAGAATGTCATCTCTCTTAATTCTCATCTGTTCTCCAATAAAGTGACCTTTTCGCAATACTTTCTTTAATTTTTTACATGGATTTTTCATCTTAGTTTTGTATATATATATATATATATATATATATATATATATAATTTCTGTACGTTTTTTTCTTTCTCTCTCTCTCAAGGCTGACTAACATACAAACCTAACTGCAGTTGCTGTTTTATGCGGCTCAGTCATTATCATGTTTCATAGAATTCTGAAAGTAAATGGAGGGTTATTTAATCTGCAGATAGAATCAGTTATGTATCAGGTGGAAGGATTTAAACTCCATAAAGAACCTGTTCAGGCTCTAATGTGGTTACACATAGCTTGGCTATTGCTAAGAAGACCGAGCTTAGTTTAAAAGAATACATACCTACGCTATTATAGGAACTAGCAATATAAGTTGTTACTAAAGTTGCTATTTCATTTGATAGTGATGCAAATTAGGCTGCTTAGCCTGGCTAAATGTATTTTTTTCAAGACAAAACTTACCAGTAAGCTTTCACAGTATTATTTAATGTTCATTTTGGTGTGTCCTTGCTTTAAATTTGTATGTTTTACCTGGCAAAGGAATTGGGATATTTTATCCCATCCCAGACAGCATAGCCATGTCCTTGGCCTCCAGTGCAGTTAAGCTTGGTCATACTCCTTTTCTGTTACAACAAAAAAATTACCAAAACCTGTGTAGTACTAAGGTCTACCTATGTAGATATCATTTAAACAGATCGTTAGAGAGATCCTAATGTTAGTTAAACCAAAAACAACAGGAAAAGGGATTTTTCAATAGATAACCCAGAAAAGTATTAATATAAGACTCTTCATGCATATATATATGAAATGATAAACAGATCTTTATTACAAACATTAGAAAATTCAGTTGCTGTACAATAAAACCATTTAAGATGCCTATTGTGTCCTAACATAAGCACTAGTCTACGCATGTCACAGACATTCCACTTCTTTAGCACCGCTAGTATGTTAGGATGTGGTTTGAGAAAGAGAGAAAATAAAAAATCTGTGAGAAAAGCAAAAGTACAAGCCACATCCTAACATACTAGTGGTCCTGAAAAAGTGGAATGTTTACAAAACAACCTATTCAGTTTAAAATAGAAATGAAAGCCAAAATTTTTGTATAGATATAAAATAACATTATAAATACCCTTTTCCCTTTTTTTTTTTTTTTATTTAAATGATCACATACCCTTTGTTCTCAGCTACATAAGAGCTAGGGGAGGTGAAACAGCAGAACACTGAACTTCCCAGTGAAAGGCTATGCGGGGCGTGATGTAGGTGTTAGGACAAGTCTGACACCAGAGAATAAACTTCCAGCCCCTTGTGTAAAAGTTACTATATATACAGTTAGCGAACTGTCGCTGCATTAGCAACATGTGCACAAAAGGTTGGAAGCACTGTGTCTTTGGTGCAGAGACATGGGTGAGCTGTGTCCTTAGCATGCATGCACTTCTAGCCTTTGTGTAAAAGATACTATAGTAACAGCAGTAAACTGCCACTGCTAGAGCAACATGTATACAAAGGGCTGAAAAACGTTGCTCTTAGTCCGCAACCTGTCTTTAACATGCATTCACAAGATTTAACATTGAATGCAGAGTGGAGAAACATAATACCTGGAATAGAGCAGTACTGGCTTCACTTGCCCAATGTTAAAATGGCCACATGCAGAAAAAGGTGCTAGAACAGCCTAATTTTTACATGAACATTCTTGGCTATGAAGTTGCTTAATAGGATAACCACCATTTTGACATGCTGAAGGTATATTTTCAGAATGTATATTCTCTGCCTGAAGCTCCTCTTAAAGTTCAAACATAAGTTCCTAATTTCCCAGCTACTTTGTTGGTCACTATCATTATATTTGGATGGGCCCATGCTTTGAACCAGATTCTCATATCTGCTTGGAGCTATAGTGGTGGCTGTCCTTGGTCCTGAACACAGAGACTGTCACAAGCAGGTATTCAAAGTTTTAATAAGCTGAAAGCTGCTATGGATTGCTGTGTTTTTTTTTTCCTTCTTTTAAAAAATTAATGTAATGAGTCAAATAAACAGAGCTAACTACTTAGCAACAGACAGCCTTATCAATTTTATAGAGTGACCCCTTTTTCTCCATACTGGTGAGAAAAACTGTAAAATAGGCATCACAGTGGCTAAGTGATTAGCATTTCCACCTGGCAGCACTAGGGTCGTCGGTTCGAATCCCAACTACAGCTCTACCTGCACGAAAATTGCACATTCTCCCTGTGCCTGCGTTTGTTTCCTCCATCGTTATACATACATAGTTAGTCTGGCTGAAAAAAGACAAAAGTCCATCCAGTTCAACCATTAAAAAAAAAAAATTATAATCCTACACTCACAGTTGATCCAGAGGAAGGCAAAAACAAAACAGCAAAGCATGATATAATTTGCTCCTGCAGGGAAAAAAATTCCTTGGCGATCCACCGAGAGGCAATCAGATATTCCCTGGATCAACTTTATCCATAAATGTTTGTATCCAGTTATATTCTGTTTATCTAAGAAAGAATCCAGGCCTTTTTTAAAGCAATGCACTGAGCTGGCCAGAACCAACTCTTTAGGGAGTCTATTCCTTTCCATGTTTGGAGATTAAATTTCTTTTCCTCCAGACGTAAAGAGTGCCCCCTTGTCCTCTGTAATGACCTCAGGGTGAATAGCTCTACACCGAGTTCACTATATGAACCACTGATGTATTTATACATGTTGATCATATCCCCCCTTAATCTCCTCTTCTCAAGACAGAATAAATTCAGTTCCTCTAATCTTTCCTTTTAGCTGAGCTCCTCCGTGCCTCGTATCAGTCTAACCACCTCCCGCCCGCCATATAGTAATATGACGGGTGCAAGGTGGTTCTCTCGTTCTGGGAGGACATCATATGACGTCCTCCCATTCTCACTGCACATGCGCGGCTCAGGGAGCGTGCAGCGCAGCGATCGGCGGTGCGCTGTGTCCCTCGGACACAGCGGATCACCCATCACGGAAAGAGCTGAAGATGTCGGCTCGGTCATGTGATCAGCTGTGTCCAATCACAGCTGATCACTTGTAAACAGGGAAATGACGGTTATTGGCATTTCTCTCCTCTCGAGCTTTCACTCTGACAGCTCGAAAGGAGAGGAGAGCCGGTAATCGGCTTTCCGTGGAGGGGACATGTACACTGATCATCAGGGCACTGATGATCAGTGTGCCCTGATGATCAGTGTAGCCCTAGTAGTGCCACCTGTCAGTGTCCATCAGTGCCTTATGTCAGTGCTCATCAGTGCCTCGTGCCAGTGCCACATATCCATATCCGTGCCTACCAGTGCACACTCAATGCCACATATCAGTGCCCATCTGAGCTGCCTTTCAGTGTCATCCATCAGTGCCAGTCAGTGCCACCTATCAGTGCTACCAATCAGTGCCACCTATCAGTGCGCATCAGTGCTGCCTAACAGTGCCAGTCAGTGCCACCTAACAGTGCCAGTCAACGCCGTCTATCAGTGCTGCCTATCAGTGCCATATATCAGTGCTGCCTTTCAGTGCCCATCAGTGATGCCTGTCAATGCCCATCAGTGCCATCTATCAGTGTCCATCAGTGCAGCCCATCAGTGCAGCCTTATTATCGCACATCAGTGAAGGAGAAAAATCACTTATTTACAAAATTTTATAACAAAAACTAAGAAAAAAATTTTTTTTTTTTTCAAAATTTTCAGTGGTTTTTGGTTTAAGAAAAAATAAAAAACCCAGAGGTGAAAAAATACCACCAAAATAAAGCTCTGTCTGTTACAAAAAAAATGATAAAAATGTTATATGGGTACAGTGTTGTTTGACTGCGCAATTGTCATTCAAAGTGCGACAGCGCTGAAAGCTGGAAATTGGCCTGGGCAGGAAGGGGGTATAAGTGCCCTGTAGGCTAGCAGTTAATTGCCCTTCTCTGTACTTTCTCCAGTTCCTCAATGTTCCTTTTGTGAATTGGTGCCCAAAACTGAATTGAATATTCCAGATGAGGTCTTACTAATGATTTGTACAGGGGTAATATGATATCTCTCTCTCTGGAGTCTATACCTCTTTTAATACAAGAGAGGATTTTGCTCGCTTTAGAAGCTGCAGCTTAGCATTGAATGCCATTATTAAGCTTGTGATCTACAAGAACCCCCAGATCCTTCTCCACCATTGATTCCCCCAGTTGTACCCCCCCAGTATGTATGATGCATGCATATTCTTAGCCCCCCAAGTGCAGAACCTTACATTTATCAACAATGAACCTCATTTGCCACATAGTTGCCAATTAAACAGTGCATTGAGGTCAGCTTGTAAATTGAAGACATCCTGTAAGGACGTTATTCCACTGCACAGCTTGGCGTCATCTGCAAAGACTGAAATTGGATTTTTAATCCCAGACCCTATATTGTTTATAACTATATTAAAAAGTAAGGGTCCCAACACTGAACCTTGGGGTACACCACTGATAACCCTAGACCATTCAGAGTATGAATCATTAACCACTACTCTTTGAATACGATCTTTTAGCCAGTTTTCTATCCATTTACATACAGATTTTTCCAAGCCCTTAGACTTTACCTTACACATTAGCCATGTGTGGGGAACTGTGTCAAACGTTTTTGCGAAATCCAAGTATACCAAATCCACCGCCACTCCTCTGTCCAAGGTTTTGCTCACCTCCTCATAAAAGAAAATTAGATTTGTTTGACACAAAATAATTAAAACAATAGTGCCGCGCTCCCATGTAAAATACCTTATATACCTTGTGATCATGTTTCCAAAATTATGAATTATATATATATCAAAAGTATAATATATAACACATATTACACGCTATATTAATCAAATAATTACTGTGCTGATTATCCCCTTTGAGATCTGAAATTAATATCAGTGAACCAAAATCAATATATAAATATACACAAGATCCTCTTCCAATTCAATTCCAAAAAGAAATTCCACTCCAAAATCCAAGTGCAGTGTGATCTTATTATGCGCTCACCTTATGTTTTGCCTAAGAATATAGGCAAAACTCGCTTTTTGTCCTCATAGGACTGATGAAACCATATTCCTCCTGTGTAAAATTTCTCCAAATAATTATATGAATAGTTGTAGTTAGGTATTATTCCACCTGGGGTCTCTCCAATCAATTGGTCTTCTGTGTAAAGGAATGGATGGAGGGATAGATATCTCCCTTTTCCCCTCCAGGGGTCTCCTTCCTCCTTTAGTAACCTTTCTCCAATGTGTCACAAATGGGTATCATAAGAGAAAAACAGAAACCATGGTGCCTTATTCTTTTTAAATTTGTAATTTATTACTGATCAATGTACCACTCACATTTATGCAATTTACAATGAGCTAAAATAGTGAGAGCATAGCCTGCTGTGTCTGCTATACTCGCCGTGCTTATCCGAGACAACGTCGTGACGTCAGAGCCCCTCCCCTACGCAGTGCATCACCGGGTCATGTGACTTCATCAGGGATATATGATTGTATTGAGAAATGTTACACAGGAGGAATATGGTTTCATCAGTCCTACGAGGACAAAAAGCGAATTTTGCCTATATTCTTAGGCAAAACATAAGGTGAGCGCATAATAAGATCACACTGCACTTGGATTTTGGAGTGGAATTTCTTTTTGGAATTGAATTGGAAGAGGATCTTGTGTATATTTATATATTGCCTTTGGTTCACTGATATTAATTTCAGATCTCACGGGATAATCAGCACAGTAATTATTTGATTTATATAGCGTGTAACATGTGTTATATATTATACTTTTGATACATATATAATTCATAATTTTGGAAACATTGTCACAAGGTATATAAGGTATTTTACATGGGAGCGCGGCACTATTGTTTTAATTATTTTGGGTCACAAAACACTATTTAATGAGTTGGTGTGAGTGCAAGCGAACCTCATGTGTGTTTATTTATGTAATTAATTGATTATCACAGTCACCATTTACCATAGTAGCTCACAATTATATATATAATTTTTTCTGATTTGTTTGACAACTTCTGTCTTTCATGAATCCATGCTGTCTGTTGCTTAAAATATTTTTTTCCAGCAAGAACTCTATGTGTTCTTTTATTAAACTCTCCAGTATCTTCCCAACTATAGAAGTTAAACTAACAGGTCTATAATTACTTGGTAAAGATTTTGACCCCTTTTTAAATATTGGCACTACATTACGTCAATCCTGTGGTACTATGCCAGTCATTAAAGATTCCCTAAAAATTTTAAACAATGGCGTTGAAATGACAGAGCTCAATTCTTTAAGGACCCATGAGTGTATTCCATCCGGTCCAGATGCTTTATTCACCTTTATTCTGTCTAATTATTTTTGGATCATATAAATTGTGAGCCAATGTGGATCATCTGGAGCGGTGTCAATACCATATCCATTATGTACAAGAGCTCCCCCATGCTCCTTTGTATACACAGAGCTGAAAAGGTATTTAATAAATTTGCCTTCTCTTTGTCCCCAGTCACCCACTCTAGATTATTTTGTAAAGGGCCTACATGCCCGGGCCGAACCTTTTTACTATAAATCTATTTGTAGAATTTTTTGGGGTTTGTTCTGCTATTTTTTGCAATCTGTCGTTCGTTTTCAATTTTTTGCGGCCTTTATTTCCTTTTTGCATATTCTGTTATATTCTTTGTAATGTTTAAATGATGATAGTGTTCCTTAATTTGTATATTTAATAAAAGCTCTTTTCTTATTATCTATAGCTTTTTTAACTTTGGCCGTAAGCCACATAGGTTTAATTTTTAGCCTTTTAAACTTGTTGCCCATGGGAATATTTTTTGCAGTTTGTTCACATAGTCTTTTTGAAGAACTCCCATTTCTGTGTTGTGTTCATTGATGCCGATATTCCCTCCCAGTCTAAGTCTTGGAGAGCAGCTCTCCACCTTGGAAAATTACCTCTCTTAACATTGACCATTTTTATTCTTCCCATATCTGCTTGCTGTTTACAGCTAACAATAAATGAAATCATGTTATGGTCACTCCTACCCAGATGTTCTTTTATATGGACATTTGTATTAAGCTCTGCATAGTTTGAGATTACCAGGTCCAGCAGAGCAGCATTCCTAGTTGGGACCTCTATGAACTGTACCATAAAATTGTCCTGTAGCAGATTTAAAAATGTTTGTCCTTTAACTGTTCCTGCAGTACTATTACTCCAGTCAATTTCCGGGTAGTTAAAATCCCCCATTATTATCACTGTCCCAGCCCTTGCAGCCCTTTTGATCTGTGCAAGGAGCTGAGTCTCCACCTCCTCATTAACACTGGGAGGCCTATAACAAACTCCAATGATTTCCTTTGTAGTAAGCACCCCCATGTGCAGTTCCACCCATAATACTTCAGCCTCATCACACTCTCTATCAACTACGTCCTCTTTCACATTCGGTCTGTGATCACTTCTCACATAGAGACAGACACCACCACCTTTCCTATTTACCCTGTCTCTCCGAAAGAGAACATAGCCATGAATATTAATGGCTCAGTCATGTGAAGAATGAAGCCAAGATTCAGCAATACCAATTAAATCATAGTTCTCTTCATGCACCAAAGTTTCTAGCTCACCTATTTTGCTTGGCAGACTTCTGGCATTGGTGAACAAACACTTTAATTCATTGACACCTCCAGGTACTCCGGTTTCCATCCACACGCTAAAGACATGCTGGTAGATCAATTGGCTCCTGTCCAAATTGTCCTTAGTATGTGTACCTATGAATGTGGGTTAGGGACCTTAGATTGTACGCTCCTTGAGGGTTAGGGACTGATCTGAATGTACAATATATATGTAAAGCACTGCGTAAATTGACCGGAATATATAAGTTCCTGTAAAAAATAAATAATAAGTCCAGAACAGTCATACAGATAACAATTATTTAAATAACTGGTTGAGGTCAGTTACTTGTGACTTAAAACAGAACTTCAATCTTTCAGTCAACATTGACTATTTTTAATCCTTATGCTACTAGCATTATTAAAGATAGGAAAGTATATCATATTCATTTGTTTTATACCTTTTTTCACATTTCTTCAGTTACTTCCTGGTTTCCAGGCCTAGACAAATGATGTCATACATCCCAGGAGTCTTCAGGAGGGGAGGAGGGGTTTCTTAGCTAAGAACATCCTCCTGCTTGCATGCCTGAGCTAAAGGCAGATTGCTTCCAGGAAGTAAATGCTACATGAATCATCTGCCCTTACTCAAGATGGCCACAGCCAGAAATGCTATGGGGTAGTTTTCAATGAGAGTTCTCATCAAAATGGCAGCATGGAGACTGTGTGTTTGGTATGTGGTGCTCAGATGCAGTGTAGTTCTGCTTTAATGGGGCAAGTAAGCTAGACAGCCTGCATTTTCAGTTAGATATCTACAATAGGAGAAA